TTCAGTGGTTTGCTTTTGGCACTCTGTGCTGAACATGACTGAACTGTGTTTGTGTACTGTGTCATGAGAGACCTCCATATGTTGTAAATAAGATATGCTGTCGGGACAGGTAAGATGCCTTTTCATTATGAGTTAGAAATACACCCTTATTTCTGATGCCAGAAGTGGGCTGAGTTCACTCTTCCCCAATGAATGGAATGAGAAGATTCTTCAGTTTACATACCCCAGTACTTCATATTGCAAACATCACTTATTTTCATCTTTTTTTTATGTAAATTTACTGATCCAAACACGTGAAACACACCCACCAAGGTGTAGTCAGGAAAGCTTCTCTCTGCTCATTCTGTTTCCATCCCAGGGAGAATACTGTCAAGAAAGTCTCCCTAGTTAGGAGAACAGTCATGTATAGTCTCCAGAATAGTCACGTATTTGCTAAAGCCTAAAGCTTTAACGTTTGCTACAGGTTCACACTGCGGGTCTAAATCAGGAGGTGGAGCGTTGTGGCTGAGCTTTGGCTGGTGGTGGTGTAGATGGCAGTGAGCAATTCTGCAGTGCAGTTCTGAAGCAGTAAGAGAAGGTGACTTGCTTGGATTGGCACAAAGATCGTGTGGAAGTATCTGCAGGTCTGATTTGGTTGTCTGTGTGCCAGGTTGGCAGGGGGAAACAACCCAAACCCAAACACCACACCCCTTGCATCTGTTTGTTAAATCTTAAGCGTTCACACTGGATTGTTTAATGGTGAGAGGGGGAGAGAGATTGCTTTGTTTCTTCGTGGTAGTTTGGGTTTTGGCACAGTCACATTTTCATCAGATACTTTGCGTAGTTTGTCCTCACCTGGTAGAATGACTGGAATAACAGTTACTACTTTTTAAAAAGAATGTTCTTGGAGGTTCTTGAAATGCTGGTGTTGTTTCAGTCACATCCACAGCAGTGACAGTCCCTACCTGCCAGGGTGTGCTGCATCAGCTGTTGGACAGGGGCCTGTACATTGTGCAATTAGGAGAGAAGACACTATGAGAGGCTCATTTTGAGCAAGTCAAAACATTTCATAAAACACCTGTTTGGTGTATTTTGGAGAAGTTAAAATAACTGGGATTTCATGTTATCTCATTCTGTACTAAACATTCATTTTCCAGATACTAACAAGAATACTTTACATTGACTGTTAAAAGAGTACAATAGGTGTGTCTGAGCGAGGTGAAGATGCTGCTAAATGTTTAAGATATGTGGTATGTATCACAAGATAAATATTTAAGTAGTTTAGAAAAGTAAATTATCAAATAGTTGTCTGTGTATATGTATGTGGATGGTAAAACAAAAAATGCTCATGTTGGTTATCACATTACTAAGCTACCATGACTTAATCCAGAAATGTTACCTGCATGTGAGACTTTAGAACTGGTACACTTCTCTACCTGGTTTATTGTGTTTACTAATGTATATTTTTCTAAATATACAGATATTTCAATCTAAAAAAAAAAAAAATCTATATTTATCTGTAATTTCTATCTGTTTTGGACAGTGCATGAGGTGCTGTAAAATTCTGTACATATAGAGACTTATAGAAGAAACACTGTAGTTGCCCCGTGAATGAAAAGTTATACATAGAAGTACAGTCAGTATGCCAAGACCTGTAAGTTATTTCCCTGAATTCACCAAAAATTCACTTAAGCTTGCACCAGTGTCAGCTCTCCTGTAAATACTGTGGTGCATTGTGTACCCAGGTGATGACCTTGCTGTCTCTAAGTGTTATAGCAGGTCTGCTTTAGGTTCTGCATCATGTGACAAGATGCAGTCCAAGTTTAGTGGGATAATTATAATGGAATACATCATCTTGCATAGATTTATAAAGGTCTTTCAAAATGTTCTGCAAACCTTTGCAACGAAGGTAAACGTGGAGCAGAATCACAGATCGTGGTAGGCAAGGAAAATCAAGCCCATAACCAACACAGTATCTGTGACTTGTGCCGTGTTCTCGGCTCAGGGCAGCTCTGTGTACTTAGTTGTACAAAAGCTTTGTGGAGCAGGATGGCAGATCAGCTCATTGCTTTTGAATTTCTGTTTATATAAACTGTCACATCTTGGCTGAGCTCAAATTGTGATATTTTTTCCTTCATCCTCTCTAGTCACTGCATCTTCTAAAATCATACCTAAGTGACTTGCTTACAAATTGCCTGCAGCTCAGTGCTCAGGAAGTCACCTGGGTTTGCTTTTGTTTTTTGAAGAGGGTGATTCAGCTAAGAAATAGGAAACTTCTTTTTCTTTCAAACACAGAAAATCCCTGGCTAGGTACCCCCTTGAGCCCAGTGGGCCTCTGCTGTGCCCAAGGACCAGTGAAGAGAGATCAAGCAGAGCACTCCAGAGATCAGGAACTGGGTTCTTACCTGCCCTTACACATGAGCCAGTCTTGTGACTCCTTTCACCTATCCCATGGTTTCCCATCCAGGCTTCCTGTAGCTTGCTTCTGTGCCCACACTGAACCTTGAGGCCGTGTCCCAGTGCATGGACAGTGCCTCCTGCAGCAGCTGCCCCGTTGCCCATTGTGCCTGTGGGCACAGCTCTGGGATAGCCAACAGCTGGGCACTGTCACGTCCTGCACATCTGTACGGGCTGTTTGCTTCATGCGGGGTTCCCTGCCTCACCCAAATTCCAAAGAGTTCAAGTACCACATGGTTATTGCCAAACTTCATGATGCTACTTTGCAGAAGTGGTCAGATCATTTTATTGGTGTCTGTGTGGTGGGTACTGGATCAAAGACTCGTAGTCTGCTGGGCCTCTTGCCTTAAATATCCCTCAGCTCCCAGCACCCTCCTCTCCCTGCAATAAAAACCTCTCCTGGGCCACTGAAAGGGTTTCTATCCTTAAGGGCACTTTAATTTCCTTTCTCTGGTGGACTGTTGTGACTGACAGTGCTGAAGTGAAGTCTGGCCCTTCTTTTTTTTTCCCTTTCATTTCTTCTTTTTTGGCCTGTACTTTAGTTTTCACATGTGTTTAACAGGCTTGCTGATGGGAATTGTCTCGGATTTTCCACTTGTGTCTTATAGAGGAAATAGTAGTTAACAAGAACATCACTATTTAGGACTTGTGTAACTTACTGGTTTTAGGCCCAAGACAGATCCTAAAAATAAAAATAGAAAACATTTGTAAAATAATTGGTTTTGGTTATTTTTACAGGCAGCTTTTCCTTCTAATCATATTAAAAGTGTGCTTGTGCCCACACACACAAACACCCATATATATAAATAAAACTTCGGGGTAAATGCTGCAAATATTTCAGGCAGTGTCTGCTAAATTACCTGAATTCTCTGCAGTGGGATACGATTCCACAGCTACATTGTCAACTGCTGAATCCTCAGTTCATTTGCTGTACTGCAGCTGGGATTTACTGGTACAGGCCTAAAAACAAACCCCAGCTTGGTGAAGGCTGTTATGTAGCTTCACCTACAAATGGAATTTATTCAGCAGGGGTTCAGCAATATTTGTATTTTATAGAATAAATGACACTTGAAGTAAATTAATTTTTTTCTTGGTATTTGGAACTGTTTGTTATGCTCATTGGTATGGAGTTCCTTTTGCTGCTAGGACAGTGGTCAGGTAACAGATTTAAGTAGTCCTGGAAACACTTTCTCCCATTTAGCCTTTTCCTTTTTATGTCACCAGCTCCATGCTAATACTTTTCCATGCAATTTTGGTTGTTTCCCTGGCTGAGCCAACTGTTGGTTACTCCACAAGCAGCCCACATTTAACTGAATTCATCAGAGCCTCTTCCAAAAACCCCGTCTCTCTGTTACCTGACCTCTCACGTGATCCATCGCATAAAGCAAAATGAACAGTGCTGCTTTGTACCGGCAAAAAAAGGTTTTTTTGTTGGCTTAGGTCTTGTACACAATTATGTGTGGAGATAACTGTTGATATATATTGTTTCCCCCTAGGACAATGAATGTTGAGCATCCCTTGCCCACCCTCCGTGTGTTGCCCATGTGTAACATTTGTGCACTGTGGTGTAGGGAGGGGAACTGCTTCTGTGGGGTTTAAAACACAAGAAAGTTGCTGCTCTCCGCCCCCACACCGGTCTAAGAACTGTAGGATCTTGGTTGTGTTTGGGTTTAAATGTGCATTAGAACTCTGTCACCAGGCATTTCCTTACCTTGCTTTTTCTCACAACTGGTTTTGCCAGTTGGAAGCTCTCATGGTTTTCTGTTTTGTAGGGTTTTTTTTATTTCTACAGTATATTAAATTAACCTGGATTTGAATTTGTAAAACTTTCAAAACTGCTCTCCTGTAAAAAATAGTTTCTTTAGCTGAAAACTTCCTACAAGAAAAATCTTAACCATTAGCTGAATTTTTTAATATAAACCTGGAAATTATTTAGTACCTAATTGTTTGAATACAGTACTGTAGAGCAGGCCTAGGATATGGGACTTGTTAGCATTGTGACTTCATACTGATAAAGTCAGCTACTATGTGGGATGTTTTTAAATTGTGACTTGTTTTCTAAGACCCCCCGCCTTGTCTTTTTCACAGCTAATATTTTCACAATAAACACAGCCAAACATAAAATGTTGATGTACAAATGATGAAATTCTGTTAATTCCCAACAAAATATTTTTGTATATAATAAAGATTTAATATTGAAAAAATGTAATTGGGATTTTTTCTAATTTTTTTTTTTGGTCATAGTCTGCATTTGAGCCACATAATGTATCAAGGACCAGTCTTTGAATCTGCCTTTTATCTTTTATCTGGATTCTCCAGCCTTCGTCCTGGGCAAGGCAAAGGGAAGCAGTATTTTGGGGAGGTAAAGTCAGGGTGTGAAATCAAACCTTTTATGAGAAAAGCTTCAGCCTCCTCTGAAGCACCCTATGGGTCTTTTACCACCTCCTTTGCTAGGGAGGAGCACATCTAAGCTTGAAAAAGCATTTTCCGTGTCAGGCCAGCCTGGAGTCACTTGTTTGTCAAAGATGTAGTCCCCAAAAGAAAAACAATGGAAATTACATGTGTAAGTTATTCTATTGTTTTGACACAGCATTTAATAGGAAGTTTTTGTAAATTCATTACAGAGGCAACTTTTTGTAGTGATAGGCAAAAGACAACTGTCCCACTCACACACTGCTTCCAGAAGCAGAGTTCCATGCTTCCAGCTCCTAAAGGATGCTTTCTTTCTACACCAGCACAAAGTTCAGGCAACACCATCAGCTTCACGGAACAGATGAGATGCAGAAACGCCCACGTCCCAGCGTGCAGAGCTATCCTGAGCTCTCAGGGACTGGAAAGGCACCGTGGTGCTTTTCTGCATAGTCCATGTCCTCAAGGAAAGCTGAACTGACGTGACTTTTTAAAAGCTTCTTAGACAATCTGCTCAAGGCCGTGTGGGAATAGAGCAGGAAATGGAGCAGAACTCCTACCCACCAGCCACGCTGCAGGGCCTGGTTACTGGTCACCCCCACACAGGTGCCTGCTTCTTTGTCTCTCAGCCATCTCATGATCTCATCTGTAAGCACTGATACTCCACCTACTTGGAACATCTTCCCAAGCCCACATTTACAGTGATCTATGCTGCATTTCTGTTCCATCCATGATTATAAAAAATTATGATGAAAAAACAAAAATAGTTCAAGCACACAGTGCTTTACTAATACTTTCCTGTTAGTCAAAGAAACAAGCAAAATATGTGCACTGGAAATGTCATATGGGTAAAATGATCATTTCTATAGTGTGCAGCAGGGACCCTTCATGTGCACACACCAGAAGGCATTGCCACGCCAAAGTTCAGAATGCAGTTTAAACAGCTGAAACTTGCTAACATGAGTAAAAACATACCAGAAAACAGAAATGCTGTACAGAGGTATAAATCCCTGAAGTGGGTCTGGGTGGTTGAAAAAGAGACTTTGCTATTTCCTGCAGTGTGCAGCTCATATCCATTAAAGTCAAACAATAATTAATAAGAGAATCTAATCGAGTACCTTTTTGAGAGCCCTCCATTGCACTTGCTCCAGAGTGAAGGCATTCTGCACACCCAGGCTTAAGTAGAAAAACAGTTGCTGCATTGCAGAACCCTGGGTTTCCAGGGCCTGCCTGTTTGCTTGCTTACAAAAAGCAGTTTGTACTTTGCTGCCTTCTCCCATGCATATTAATGCAAGCAATCTGGCTTTCACTGCCCTGCAGATCTGACACCTACCAGAGCAGCTATGTTCAGTTTCTCTCCCATGGCTCTCTTTTTTAATTTCTCCCCTTCATCCCTTATTTATGTATTTTCCACTGAAACTGCAGAGTCCCCTGGTCGCCCTAATTCCTGGCTGTGCCGCCCTAAGTACCAACAGAACAGCTCTACTGCTGATCCCAAACACACCAAAATTACAGACAGCTACAGAAGAAGCAACAGGCTACAGCAAAAACTGGATACTCAGTATAGCTCCTATACATTCCCACCTAAAGCATGAAATCCATACAGTGCAACATAAAGAACAAGTGGGAAGAATCTCGGTTCTTTCATAGTTACAGCCTTTACAGAAGACTCTGTCATTTCCAGATTAATGTTTGATGAAGCAAACAGCCTCTGCACGACCTCAAATCTTCCTCTGTCGGTGAGAGTGGCCACCGAAGGACTGCTCAGCGCCACAGTGCCATCGGCTGAAGCGACGTCAGGCTGCATTCATGAGACAGAGCAAAAGACAGAGACATTAAAACATTTTCCAGGCACTGCTGTTCCTGCCATTGCAGAGCTCAGTTTCATATAAAACCACCAGAGAGCTGACAAGACAGCAGCAAAAGGTCACGATTCCCTTTACTATTAGCACTGACAAGTACAAGGTACTGATCCAGAACCAAAGCTCCATGGCACGCTCTAAGGGGAAACATCTCTCCTACTGTGTCATTCCCTGAGTTCAGCTTCTCCCACTGCACATCACACTTACCTATCACTCTGAGCAGAACTCACCTTGCTCCTACATATTTAAAGGATTTTACTATTGTTTTTTTAAGTGACTTAAAAAAGCCTAGAAAAATCACAGAATCATAGGTTGTTTGGTTGGAAGGGACCTTAAAACATCATTCAGTTCCAATCCCCCTGCTACAGGTAAGGACACTTTTCACTAGACCAGGTTATTCAAAGCCCCATCCAGCTTGGCCTTGAACGCTTCCAGCCTGGAGCATCCACAACTTCTCTGGGCAACCTGTTACAGTGCCTCACTATTTTCATAGTAAAGAGTTTCTTCCCATCTAAACCTACCCTCCTTCTACAATTAGGTCACCCTGAAGCATTCTCTTCTCCAGGCTAAACAAATCCAATTCTCTTGTTCTTTCCTCACAGGAGAGGTGCTCCATTACTCTAATGCCATGCACCATTCCTTCAGCAGTTTCAATAAATGGCCTCAGAGTTTTGAGACTTCAGGGTTTGCCAAGGCTCAAGCACTGTTGCTGTCAAAGCGAAATTTGTTTCCCAAGGAGAGGTGATTACTGTTACTGAGACTTTAAAACAGTGAGACTATTAGAAAAATAAAACCAGAGCTTAAGTCACAATTTTCTTTTGCTCCCAAGCTGTGAAATCTCCCAAATACAGCAATGTTCAGAAGTTAGGTATCCATGCGCAGTAAATTATGTGCTGCATTTGCCATGTCAGATTCTGAACTTGGCTAAGCGCTGCCTACAGCTGAAATTCCCACTGGAGCTAGACATCTCCTCCTTTATTGGGGAGAAATATGGCTGAGGACACAGCCACTGCTGCTGCTGTGCCCACAAGCACATCTCATCTCCATTACTCACCAAAAAACACAAGGCTGGAACAACGTGAAGATCACAGCAGGCACGCAGCAGGACAAGGGTGTCATCAGGCAGCTCTGTGGAGGACACAGTCACAGGCAAAGGTCATTTCCAGTGAACCCTGCACCAGGCTGGCTGCTGGAACAGGAGCTTTATCAGGGAGCTAACAAGGTCCTCCTCAGCTGGATGTTTGGAAGAGGCTGATCCAGCCCCTTCCTGTGTGCAGAATAGAGTGGGATGGGCAGAGGGTCTGACTATCTCTATCCATGAGAAAAGGCATTTGTAGAAAAGGGGTTTTCCTCCCCATCGCCTTGCCTCGTCCCTAACTATCTCCTCAGTGTTTAACTTCGAGTCTGGAGGCTGGATGAAGGACTTAGGCCTTGAATCAACCAAGAACCTGTGCTCTCAAAATCCATACATGATGCTAACTTCTGCAAAGCACAATTTGAGAGGAATGGCCTAGCTGAGATTGCCTCGATGCTGGGAGATGGCCTAAATGAGCCCTGTCGTGCCCTTCAACTCTAACAAAAAGGCTGTAATTCCTACCACAAGCAACAAGCATAAAACAGCTTTTGAATCTAGATCCAGCTACACTTATGTCTGGACTTTAGCAGCAGACATTATGTCCAAAGTCAGGTAATAATGCAACACGCTCAATTAACTGTGCCCTGCTGCTAATGACATCTGACAATTGATACCACATCAGCAGGTTTCTGTTTTCTATTTCTTTTCTCTCTCCACAAATGAGTTAAGCTCTCCCACCTGGGTCCTGTGCATATATGGATGCACACTGACATTCTGCTGCATGGTGCCACAATTTACACTGGACTTCCCTTCATTATCTTAATGTCAGGGAATTCTTGATATACAAGACAGAAGAGAAAAATCCAGGGAAGTCTGTCTTGGACTTTGCAGGTAGCTTATAATTAACACTGTGGTGCCAACTAGATTGTGAGGATGGCATCTGTTTGACATTTATGTTTAATCTCCTGTTTCAGCAGCTGCAACACAGCCCTCTAATTGCAGTGTCTCTGTGTTAAACTCATTTTTCCTAAATTTAGTTTGCACTTGAACAATATACACTGTTACACAGGAGACAACACCTAATTTGTAATTCTCGGCATTTAGGCGGGAAGGACTCTGGCATGCAGCAAGTACAGAGATTAGCTTGCCAAACTGCAAATGCTCACACTCAGCAGAAGCAAAGTTGAGCAGTCTTGAGGGAATGTGTAATTTACACACAAAATCTGTCAGTGATTGAGGGCTGAATTTAATTCACAGCCAGGAATACTAAGCATAGTATACCAAACTCATAAAAAGGGAACAGAAAAATTTATGTTCATGCAGCTCACCAACTGCTCAAAGAAAGCCATAAAAGCTTTAACATGGAGGGAGCTTCTAAAAGGAAAATAAAAATTTTAAAAGGGCTTTTCACAACATACCAGATATAGCACTGATAAGAAGGTGAGCAGCTGAGAAAAGTTCTTCATCCTGAGGCTGGTATTTCTGCAACAATAGCTCACTCTTCAAACTGCACCCTAAGAGCTGCAAGAAGTCACGGAGGTCTCTTTGTTGTTCAGGTTTTAACTCCTCCAGATCTGGCTTGTCTCCTGTGCAGATATCATCGAACTGAAAGCAAAAGAAATAAGCAAAACTTCTTGAAAAGAGAAAAATTCAAACAAAAGAGAATGCTAGTACTACTCTGAAATTACTTTTAGGAAGCAATTCAAAGGTTCTTCATCTTACCATGTCCCCCAGGGCAGTCACCATTTCTTCGTGGAGCAAGAGCTCACAGAGGGTTTTATATAAAGCTCTCTGCTTGTCTTCGGCAAGCTTCATAAAGGGCTGGAACTGGGTCTTCAACCGGGACAGATCTTTCCCAAGAAAGCAGTGGAAAATAAAACTAAGTATTCCTACAGAAATGCCAGTAAAAACAGATAACATTTTGCTGTGTGTTTCACAAGCTCATTTATCACCACACCTTGACTGACATCCTTGACATTCTGATTTCTGACAGCACAAGTTATTATGCAAGGTTTGAACAGATCTGATTTTATTTCCTAAGAAGCCAATGAAACCTCAATGCAAACATTAAGAAAGAAGAACAGCTACCAAGAATCAACATTTTGGTGTACAGTATTTTTAATACTTTGAAATTCAGTACTTTAATGTTAACAAGCTAACTACATGAAGAGTACTCATTAAGTACAGGGAGTGCTCTGCATTCTTTTCTCACAATTCAACTATGATACTGAAATTAAATCTTCTGTGACATAAAATTACCATGTTGCTAAAAAAAAAAAATGAAGCTTTCAAATCAATAATGCCAACTGGAAGGTTGGAAGGGGATTTTTTTCCACATTCCAAAAATGTGGGCATACAAGTGTTCTCAAATTTGTTTAAAATAAATTTTCCTTCATGTCACTCCAGTCAAGAAACATGCTCTGTTTAAAGACATCCTTTATAACTAAAAAATTACTTCACTGGGGAAAAAAAAAAGCCCAGCCACAGGCAGGTATTTTGTTTATCTGATGCAATGATATGAATTTGTCTATACAAATAACAGAAAATGAACTGTGCTTCCAAATTCTTTGGTAAAAACAATTTTTTTTAGCTTTTTAATTTTCCAAGAGACAGTGGAGGTTAAATTATTTAAAGAAATCTCTGAACCTTTTAAGCAAGAAAAACAAATAGGCATGTCAAACTAAAACAAAAATAGAACAGTGGCATACCATTCTTTCACAAGTGTTTTCTACATACTGTTTATTAATCAAGGGGGAAGCTTAGAGCCAAGAGGGTGATATTCATCAGGAGAACCAGCTGTAAGAACTCCACCAAGAACTGAGAAAAAGCACAGTGTGTTCTGAGACCTTGACTGGTTTTCCCTTTTTTCATTCCACCAGTAAAATTCCCGCCTCTTCTTCCCACATTCCAACAGTAAGAACTTGTACCTGGGCCATTATACCAATCTGCAAATCTCCATTTAAACCACATTTTGATTTTCTCAGTTACAAAGCTTCTCAGAAAATAATGAGGCTAAGTGAAGGCAAGGCAGATGTCTATTTCTGAGACTTAACCTGTAACTGAGCTTTACTGAGAGTATTTTTCAAATAATGAGAAACTATTTTCAGTGACCCTTTCTGAATGAAAGCATGTATCATCACTACTCTTGCAGAGGTTATCTGGAATGTAAAAGAGCCATCTGACTTTGTAAGATGGTATTTATGACAGATGAATTCAGAATTTTCACTGAAAGAGTCCACTGCATACACTTACTGCAAACTGATTTCTTATATTATTCCACTGCATTTCCCCAAGAGTTCTTGATAAGAGCTATTAAAATGAACTAACAAGATTTCTTACTTACTATTGTACCAGATTATTTCTGCCTATCAGGTTATTTAATGCACTGTAATATAATCATGCAAAGCATTTCTGGTAATACCTTGTTTCAATATACTTATAGAAGCATCACTGGGAACGAGGTTTTTAGCCCCAGAGTACATCTCATTATCAACAGCATCTGGCTGATAGAGGAACGAAGCATCTCTGAATTGAACTGAATGGGGATAAGCTGAGCCTTCTGTACTTTCTTTTTCAAAACCTCCTTGCTGTTCATCTAGCAGACAGAACTCTGTAATTAGAAATTCAATCAAAAACAATAATTAATAAAATACACTAGCAATTACTGAATGAGATGATAGCTTGTATTTCCCAGTGCTCTCGCATGTCATTTCTCCATGTCTTGTCTCTTCCAGATGGAGAGAATGCCAGCGGTTGCTGTGCACGTGAATTATTGAGCATTCCTGCAGCCCTGATGTTTGGTACAGTGTGTACAGACAAGACCTGTGGTGCAGCTGCCTCCTAGAGAACATGACACCAGCTCCTGTGAACTAAATTAATGTAGACAGAAAATAACATGAAAACTTCCCGCTGACACTGTAAACCAGAATGCTGCAGACAGGAGATGCAGGTAGGAATTCTTGATGTTTTCACAGAATCAGCTGAGTTGGAAAGGGGCCTCAAGGATCATCACGTCCAACTCCTGGCCCCCCACAGCATCATCCCCAAGAATCACCATGTGCCTGAGAGTGTTGTCCAAATGCTTTTCGAACTCTGTCAGTGTTTGTGCTGAGTTCAAACCTGAGAGTGCCTGAGAGTGTTGTCCAAATGCTTCTCGAACTCTGTTTGTGCTGTGACCACTTCCCTGGGGAGCCCATTCCAGTGCCCAAACACCCTCTGGGTGAAGAACCTTTCCCTGATATCCAACCTAAACCTCCCCTGACACAACTTTGGCCATTCCTTGTTGCTGGTCACCACAGAGAAGAGATCAGCATCTGCCCTCCTCTTCCCTCACAAGGAAGTTGTAATTGCACTGAGGTTTCCCCTCAGTCTCCTCTTCTCCAGGCTGATCAGCCCAAGTGCCCTCAGCTGCTCCTCAGCTTCCCCACAAGGCCCTGCACCATCTTCACAGCCCTCCTCTGCCTCTCTAACAGTTCAATGTCTTTCTTACATTGTGGCACCCAAAACTGCCCCCAGCACTCAAGGTGAGGCTGCCCCAGCTCAGAGCAGGACAATCCCCTCCATTGCCCGGCTGGGGATGCTGTGCCTGATGTACCCCAGGACAGGGTTGGCCCTCCTGACTGCCAGGGCACTGCTGAGTCAGATCCACCTTGCCATCAACCAGGACACCCAGGTCCCTTTCCACGGCACTGCTCTCCAGCCTCTCATTCCCCAGTCTGTATTTTTTCTACCCTCTAGGAGATGTGCTGTAATGCAGGCAATGGGATCCACTCATGAAGGAGACACATAAAAGTACTCTCTGAGATTTGTAAGAACTCTTGAGAGTCCTTCACAGAGCTTCTGTTGGTCATGGCACTGACAGACTCCACTTTCTCAGCCAAACCACAGGTCCATTCTCAAGTCCTCTAGGTAAGTGGACAACAGACTTCTGAGAGTCTCTAAAGGACATCACCCAGGGATGTTTCCTAACAGAATCACTCTGCAATACCTGTCTCTCCTCAGTAACATCACAGAGGAAATAACATGCCCTGGCTGGATTACCCTTTCTGCCTCGTCTTTGTGACAAGCACTGGCCAAACTCACCCAAACAGGACTGTTCTTGTCCTGCCATCCCAGTGCCCCAGCCTGATGAAGTTAAGGCTTCCTGGAAGGTATAGGGAGCCTTTGTAAGAGTTATGCTGAGAAATCTGGAGTATCAAATTCTGTGCTTATCTGTCCAACACTGTGCCCTAAAGATGCAGAATACAGTCAAAGCCCAATGAAGACTCTGATAATCTTTTATTGGCTCAAATGCAAGATTTGGATGTGTACCCATGGCACTCCACAGTGGGTCTGAGGAGAACACAGGCAGGCTAGCAAGAGAAACTCAATTTTAAAAGTAATACCTGACAGCAAAGGGGAAAAAAGGTAACTAATCAAGCACAGTGCTCAGATGTACCAGGAACAAAGCCTAAATATAACCTTTCTGCAGTTGTAAGAGTCTGTCTTACTAAATTAAGGACATTCAAAGCAGATGAGAAAGCATGCAGAGCACTCCATCAGCAAAAAGCTTTTTCAAAGGGAAAGCACACAAAAAAATCCCTGCCATGGAGAAAGAAAGATGACAGACCTTTATGCTTGCATAACTCTTCACGGAGAAGAAGGAGCTACACAGGAGCAGAAAGCGATTAACACAAGCTAAGAACTTCTCAAAGCAACGAGGCTTTGGACAGCAGCTGAGGCACCACAAAGGCCAACACACTCATGTTACTGTCATTGAAAGTAACAAGGCTTTCACATGAACCTTGAGGAGGAAAACTGTGCTAATACACTGCCTCCCCTCCTGAGGCAAAATGATGCTAATGAGAGCAATAGAACTTTTCAGATGATGTTGTTTAATCTTGCAATAGGACTCAATTCACAGGAAAACACAGGACTCAAAATTCTGTACAATGAGGACTGTTAATAAATTCTGTATTGAATTATATTACATTCATCAATGACAAACTTCCAACAGTGCAGTTACAGCTTGTTAGTTACTCAGAAATGTCAACAAATATTCAAGAAAACTAGAGATGATCAATGAAAACAATCAAAGAGACTCCTTTATGTGGAAAAGTGGATATATTGGGACTGCTTAATTTAAGAAAAGGCAAACCACACACATATAGCCATGAACAGAACAAAACAAATCAGCTGGGTGCTTTTATAGTCCCTGATTTGTAAAGCAAGAACAAGAGGCATTTCAGCGCAACTTTAGAGACACAAAACTGCAAAGCCTTAAGCAGAAACAGCTTTTACATGGAGTGAAAAATTGGCCTGTAGAAATCAAACAGAATGATTACAGGAAAGCACAACAGTAAATGGATCAGAAAAGCTTTAGATCCTTCTTCTTTTTTTAAAAAAAAATTATTTTATTTATTTATACAAATATCCAAATATGTCCGGACGCATTAATCAGAACATTTAAAAGAAATATATACCATTCTTCCTAACAGAATAACTTGGGTACTGGCAGTGGAAAAGAAAAAGAAACAATAAAAAGCTTACATGCATCTTACTCATAATTATCTGTGAAGAGAATCCCATTAGGTTACACCTGCTATTGGCCACTTTCAGTCTCACAAGAAAGGACTATATTAGTGCTTGGATTTAACTTCAAAGGCTATTTCTATTTCCATAAACAGACACTGATTCCTGCTGCCCAGACATTAACAAGTTGAAGTTTAGGCTCCACCATACTTACTCTCGCTGGCAAAGCCCTAGTTTTGTTGTCACTTCCTTCCCTTTACCTTCTCAAAGACAGGAAAGGGAAAATAGCACACATTAAAAAAGAAACGAGGCAGGACATAGATTGTTTAAGATAAAACATGAAACAAACTGTGCTGGTTTTGAAGCTTAAAAGACAATAATATTAAATATGAAAAAAAGTGGAAAAAGAAGCAGAAGTGGAAAAAAAACAGAGAAATACAGATCATTAACAAGACCCATGTATTCTTAGCTAGCAGGACATCATAATTTCATGTAGAAATCTCTAAGTAGGCTATCAGTTATATACCTATGTAGCCAGACAGCCTTAATTGCATCTCATTACTCTGAATAACAGTTCTATTATAACCACGACGTCAACATCCTTCTCTACTATCTCTGTGTTCAGTCTACATCAGAGCAATTCCACTTTTCAGAAACTTTTTACAGGTTACATAATATTTATTTATATTCCTGAGCCTACAGGCTTTCTTAATATCACAAGTATGATGGAGAGTTAATTTTCTGCATTTCTCCTCCAAGTGAAGTACATCCTGGATTCAAATCTCAACTCTACTCCAATTATTTCTTCAATGTATCTCCTGTTTCTCTCCACATCAGTCCTTCCCAACTTCCAGCTCTACTATCTGATTTTATTCCTCCTTGCATAACATCCTCTGAAACCTCCTTTAGGTTCGTGAGTTTAAATGAGGATAGGCAAGAAAGAAAAACCCAAGTGATTGTGCAGAGCAGAGATACAACTCCCCCCAAAGCCAATTTCAACATTTTTTTAACCTGAAAAATATTCAACTTGACATAAGTAAAGCATGACCAGACAACACGACAAGGGCATTTCTGCAACCATTCTGAGGGCAATCTTTAAATGAAAGAATAAGCTAGAAAAGTTTAAATTCCAGTCCTGAATGTACCATTCTGTTCTCAACATGACTGTTGTCTAAACACTCCTGGTTGATAGCTGATTTACATTCAGGTCACTCTCTGCAACAGGCAAAGGGAATAGCCCAGGCCAAGGGCCAGCTGGATGGAAGCAAAATTGCAGTGAAAGACATGGACGATAAATCCGAGAGGATCAGTAGCTTGCCCTTGCAGTTATTGAAGTTTGCTCCCAAATTTGGTCTAAACCAGAACAGCTGCATACTGGGCTGTACTGACAAGACTGTAGGCTGGTGGATTGATGGAACTGAATTTTCAATTTGGGAAAGTGCATTCAGAGTGTGATGTCCAGTTTTGGACTCTTGAGTGCAAGCCCCACATTCACAAACTGGAGCTATCTAGCAAACAGCAGACATTGAGGAGAATAATTTCACTACCACAGTGATCAAACATGGTAACAGGCTGCCCAGAGTGATGGAATCTCTGTCTCTGAAGAGAAATCAAAACTTTTTAACAGACAAGGATAGGAGCAATCTGATCTAACTGAACTTAGATCCAAGTTCAAAAGTTGGCCGTGCCTCAAGCAGAGGCTCAGCTACATGGTCTCCTGTGGTTCCCTGAAACCTAAGTCATTCTGAGTTTACAGTGCATTCAAACCAGTGAAAAAGCATTACTATATCAAAGTTTTAAAATTACTCAATCTGCATTTCTAGCAGAAACAAATAACTATCACGGCAAAGGACACCATACAACATAATCACCTTCATGCACAGGGAAACACAAAAATCATTGTCTGACAAACAGCTTTGTCCACAGTTAAACTGTGTGCCACAAAAAAAAAAAGATTTTTACTTACCAAACTGGCCATTGTGCTTTATAAACAGTTCAATTACACCGTACGCAATAGTGGTTGCAGGAGGAATTTCAAGGATCACGCTAGAATCCTTCATCAGACTTCCATTCTCACTTACTGAAACCTACAAGACAGATTTATTCACCATTTATCTGATTAAGCTACTGCATAGCTTAAACACATAACTGAGGTGAAAAATACAGAGGGAGATTATGCTTTATTCTTCATAATGTCTCATCAAAGTGTTACACCTTACATCTGGCATCTAAGAAAGGAACTTGATGAAGAATGAGGTAGAAACACAGTGCCAAGAGCAGCTCTCACACTCTTAGCTACCCTGTCCTAGCACAAAGCTGAGCTCCAGGTGTACCTTTTGCCACACATGAAGCCCCATGTCACTAGGAAACGGGAACCCACTCTAGTGTTCTGCCTTGCCCAATTCTACCGTGACATTTCTTTTGCACAGCTGGAGGCTGGTACCAGGAAGGTGGCACTTGCAAAGGGGGTTATTACACTGCAATTCCCGGATTCCTGCAACTGGAGACACACTGCACACAGAAGTGATTACCAGCTTTAAAAAAAAAAAACCCAAACAACTTGCAATGAATGAGCTTGTTTTGACTTTGGTAATTCCTTCTCAATTCACAGGCAATTTTTCAGATAGCTTCATAATGCAGTTAATCTCTACTCCCATGATCGAAAACAAATAGTTTCCCAATAAATATGAAAACTCAGTAGACACTGAAACCATTTGTGATGAAGGATTACTTGGCGTTTCACATAAATGTGATTCAGCAATGCATTTTGCTACTCAATTGCAATTAATTGTTTTAGGTTTGCTTCATGTTCTGCTGTAGGCAGGAATCTAGAGAGAAACGGAATCACAATTTGATAGTATTGATGGAAACTACATTCCAGGCTCATATAAAAATATGGCACCTTTTGCCAGAAAGGCAATGGAAAAAACATTTTACCACACAGAATTTTCACAAACAAGCACTGCAGTTTGTTCGGCACATTAGGAAAGCATGAAAAATACTCGTAAGTCCATTTGGAGAAATCATTTCTTCTCAGATAATGTGCAAACATTCTATTCCTTCCAGATTTTTACTAACTTTTACCTTTATTGTTTTTGCAGAGCATCCCATCACACCACTGACTTTTTCTTCTGTCTGAATATGTTCGGATATTGTACATCTCTGAGTTGTGATTATCTTTTCTCTCAAGATGCACAGCACTTCACGTTTTCTTTCTATTACTTGTTGCAGTAAACTACTGTTTAGATCTATTGTTCTGGAAAAGAAAAATCCTCCATTAACAATACTATAAAGGTGAAAAAACCCAAAAAACCAAAACCAACCACATTTTCTTAATTGCTTGAAGAAGCTTTTATTGCAAAAATTATAATGGTTTCTGTATGTGCAGCCTCCTCTAAATTATGATGCCCTCTTTTGTTATTTTGCAGCAGTAAATATCTGTTTTCAACAGTAAATCCTCACACACATATTGAATTCTTGATACTCTGAGCAAAAATGGAAGTTGTCTGGATACTTTCTAAGCAAATTAAAAAGCAAGAGGGAACCAACTTTAAGTTTCCTGGATAATACAAAACCAACCAGTCAGGCTCTTGGACATTGGACTGAATCCTCCTCCTGTGAGCTTGCACTGACATTGCCATGGCCGTGGCAGGGGGTGCTGGCTGGGGGACACAATGCCAGCAATGCCCCAGTGCCAACCCCCACTGCTTGCTATGGATCTGCTGCAGTGCTCTCCTAAACCCCAAACAGGCTGAGTGGGATCAGCACTGCCTGAGCATTTCAAAGGGCTGAATGAGAAAACAGAAGATTTCATTGATTTTGAGACTGGGGATTACTGAAAAACCCCACCTGCTTCAAAGTCCTGTGTTATTCATTGGTATAGACTCAAAATTTAAAATTGATGACCAGGACTGTGACAGTCAAAAGAAAAACTAACTGTGGGGGGGGAGCTCAAAACTCTAGCCCAGGTACCAACTTAATAAACCATCCCTACTCCACAGCACAATTCAGCATCTGTTTAAATGCTACTGGAAATAATTCTAACATTAGGTTCTTCTTAAAATGAGCAGAAGTCAGAAAGTGAACTCCCAGAAACAATACAGGAGGTTTATTTTCTAAGAAGTTACAAAATCCACTACCTTGTCTTTTGGGGTGTTAACAGACTTTCTGGTAATAGTTAAAGCAATTTCTTGATTGTATTTAATTGATTAAAATGTGTCAGTTGTATTATACTTTTGCAAAATACTCACTGGAGGTCCTCAGATGAGATGTTATATTTTTTATGAACAGGTAATCTAGCAGAACTCTTGGAGGATTAAAGGATTGCTATCCCAGACTCAAATTATTCAGTCTTTTCTCCTCCCTTTGCAAATGGCTATTCATGGAGCTAAATGGCAATTTCCCAAAAATGTGACAGAAAGACATGTCTGACTCCAATTCATTTAAATCTAGATATCTCCACTTTTAATTAAAAAGTTTTAGATTTATTAGATTCTGCAGTTTTGAATTTATGCAGTCTGTTTAAGTCTGAAGTCAGATGGGGTTTTTATTGAATTAAAAATATCCTCAGGCAATTTTTGATCTTTGGAGAGTTACATGCTTATATGAAAGTTCAATCAGTTGGAATGAACTGTCTGAAAACCTTAAAGTTGATTGTTTAGACAAGGGAAAGAAAATACCTCTGAAGCAATGCAGCAGCCCCAAACATTCCTGAGATTATTAATATAACCTTTTTTCATTTGCTGCAAAGTCATGCTTTATGCTTGGAATGCAATGAGCCTTTGGATTAAGCAAAAATTCGAGAAACGTCAAGCAACCACAAACCTCACCATTCTCAGAAGTGTCTGCCAAACCAGAGCCATTAGTTACAGTCTATCAAGCCTATCATATACTTCACAATAATTATTTATGTTTCTAAAGTAGTGTGCTAAGCATCCTGAAAATACAAACGAATGCACTAATTTTAAGCAGTTTTAACATTTGACCTAGGGAGCCACAGGGGAAAAATTACAATGAAGAAGCACAAAAGCAACTTGTAATTTGCTTTTATGTGTATCTTTTGACTGTTTAAGAGGATGACAAACTTGCTGACTATCTCCAAAATTTGCAGGGACAAAAACCCTCAAACAAAGGTAGAAAAACACCTATTAAATAAAGATTTGCTATTTCTAAGTAAGTGTTAATTGAAGAAGTGTACAGAATATGACCTAACCCGATGCAAATGAATTACCAAACAAATTGAAGAGACTTTTCTTCCACCCGCTTCCACAGTATTCTGCCTGAGGCAGGACTGGCTCAGACCCTGTCACACCCCTGGCTTTGAGGTCCAGATGCAGAAGAAGCAGCAGAGTGGCAGAGCAGAAGACGTTAACTTGCAGGGAGAGGCAGTGAATAAATCCTGGAGGCAATGCTGCAGGAGCTGCTGCAGCACTGAGGGCAATGGAGTGACAGTGACACACAGGGGCACAGAGCTACCTGCTGCAGCAGCACACCCCAGGCAGTGCCCAGAGGTGACCTGGGATCCCCTGCACAGAGCTGAATGTGTGCCAGAGACAGCCACTGTCACAGCCCCAAGGTTCAAATGACTTCAGTGGGATGTGTCCCATTGTAAAGCCGTCAGAAATGTTCTCATCTGCCCAGTAAGTTTAGTGAGTTCCAAATTCAGAGCTTTCAAACACATCATCTAGCTCACAGCTACAGAAACCTTTTCTTTGAGGACAGCACAGTTAAGTGCTCTCCTCTAGACTTCTGGCACTGAACTTTCTATCATAAAACGGAACTTTGGGGTTGCATGTAGGGACATCATGAGTTATTAGTGGAGCACAGCCTGCTGAAGGCAAAATATTCTGCTCTCCTCAGCAACTTAAACAGGAGATGACACGAGGTAAGCAAGTATCCAGCTTATCTAAATTATCACTGAAAACAGTCATCAAGAGCAATCTACAACAGGGTTAAAGTTTGATAATCAAAGCAGGGCTTTAAGTATTGCAGGGCAATGGCCACTGAGTCTATGACTGTATTTTTGCAAGAACTGAACTTACTTGCCAGCATAACACTGAATATAAGAAAACATCTGAGTAACACAAGATGGCCAAGTTGAGAATACATGCATGCAAGGCACATAAACTGCATTGCATTTTTTTTATTTTACAGGTCATGTTTCAGAGCTTTAACTTCTGTTCTACAACCATGGCTCTTACCATCTCTTTCACCCTGTACTGTACAAGAGTCCCCACCAATCCTGTGCCATTTGTACTACATCACCATTACTCATCCCACCCCAAGGAGCCCAGCTGAAGCACTAAAAAATAACACTATTGAAAATATAATGAGGTGTTGGTTTGCCAAGTCCCATTATCAACACAGAGAGTACAAGCCTGTATAAATAAAAATTATTTTAAAGATACAAATTATGGGGTTTTGCTTGATTGCCTGTTCTGCTTAAACAACCTTCCTGAGGTCAATGATTTACTATGCTGGAAGCTTTACAGGTCAAACATGTAAATAAAAGAATTTCTTTGAGTTTTGGTCTCACTCCATATTTAACTAGATTGAACACTTGTATTCTCCTACAATGCAAAGACTTCTTTCACCTTCATTCGGAATTTTTCTTCTCACATTAGGAAAGCAGTATAGAGGCACAAAGGCAATTTGCTGCAGACTGGAGTCAGAAAAGAAAAGAGAAAGGTAGAAACCAAATAAAGACAAGAAAAACCAGACAGCACCTGGCAACATAGCAGGCTCTCACAGTTAATGAAGAGAGTAGGAGCCTGCTCTAAACCCCAGTGCTGAGACTGAGGGTCTTTCCTTTAGGCACAGAACTTCACCTAATTTCCCACAAAGGAGAGGCCGTAGGACCATTTTTCCATCAAATCCTGTCTAACCATCTCAGTAAGCCACCCACAAATCCTCAAAGCAAGGTACTTGTCAATTTCCTACAAATACCAAGAAGAATGGGTATTGTTGTGAGTACTCTCTATCCTCACATTGAAATCAGCAGTGTTGCCTGTCTGCAAAAATATTCACTGGCCCAAACTACTTACAAGTAAAAACCCTTTTCAGTCCTGTACTGGGCAATGTCACCTCAATACACCTCCTCTCCCAGCTGCAGAGACACAGGCAGCTCATGCTCACAGCTTCTTCTCCACTTCCTTTATCACGTGCAATAGTTTGATGTCTTCCATACAAATACTGCTTGCTGCAATGAGAGCCTACACCCAGCTTTGTTCCTGCTCTAACAGACATGAGTGTCAGAGAGTAAAATCTCACTCTGCCATTTTCCACCGAGCACAGATGCGTATTTCTTTTGTTAATCCACTTCAAATATAACCTCTCTGACCTACTTCTTACAGAACACAGCATCTGCAATAGTCAGCTTATTGATAGCATTTCACTATTTTCCCTACAGAATAACCTGACACGTACTTCACAGAACATCTTCCCTAAGAATACCAGAGAATTCTCAGACTGCAAGTGACAGTAGTTTCTCTATTTTCTATTTGACATGCTCCTTATTTTTTAAATCACAGGCACACACAATTGATTTTATTCAACCCTGTCTCACAACACTTTGTGACTTCATATTACCTCATGTAGCAGCTTAGGTAGAAAACTGAATGGTTTTCTCATCATGCTCATAAATGCTCAAGGAGTTTTAAATAGTAAATGACAAAATGATCTGAATTTCCACTGTACTCAGATTAAGAATAGACATTTATTTTTGTCTCAGTATGGACAATACCATACAGTTTCACTAATTCAACTGACATATGAAAGTATCTTTGAGCCTGGCCAGAGCATGCTGTGAAAAACACAACTCTTTTCCTAATATGCTAATCACAGAGTTAGGAATCATTCACACAAAATGATGGAAGTATGACAGTCAATTTTTTCTGCAGCTTATGTGAAATGACTGACTGCTATCACTGTCCTCACAGAAGTTCTCATTCAATCACCTTCCATGACTTTTAGTGAAATGGTAAAAAACAAATAAGTAAATTGATTAATATATGAGAAGTACAGAGATTATAATATCCTCATAATCCCGTTTACTGGAGGGAAGGAGACAAAATGGTTGAGGTTGGACAGTCATCTGGTCTAACCTCCCTGCTTTAGCAGGGACACCTAGAGCAATCTGCCTAGGACCGTGTGTCCAAGGTGCAGAACTCCACAGCATCCTCAGGCAACCCGGGCTCAGTGTCACCCTCAGAGACAAAAAGAGTGTCCTGATGTTCAGACAGAGCCTCTGTGTCTCAGATTGTGTCTACTCCTTTCTGCTCTGTCTCTGGACACCACTGAAAGTGGCTCATCCAGCCTATACTTATCAACTTCTCTAAGAGGACCTTATGGCAGACAGTACTGAAAGCTTTAAAATAGAAGATGGAATATAGTATCTTAAATCCATAGCAAACCAAGCGAGCTAGAGGCACAGGACTCTGCCTCAAATCATGTATGTATCAGTATGTTACAGTGCTCTGTGAACTAGCAAGCACCATGCAATACAAAATCAAAAGTAATATAAAGGCAAATATGCCAAATTTGTGTACCGAAAACTATTGTTCAACTTTATTTTAGGTATTGCCTATGATGCTAATTATTGTGCTCTGCATTTACAATGTCACTGCTTCTACAAACCAGAAGCATCTCATCCCACATCCTTCAGCTGTCACCCTTTTTCAGAAAAAGGAGCTAATGAAGCATTTGGAATCTAATTAAAAGATCAGTAGGATTCTCCTTCAGCAGGTTCACCTAAGAATTGACAGGAAACTAATTTCCTGCCACTGAGGACTTTCAGCTTGCTCAACTCTGAAGATTCACATAACTTATTTTAAAAGGCACATCAGGTTTGACTTTTTAGAGTTTACTGTTACTAATCTGCAACTTTGACTTAATCAGCCTAATACAAGAACATTTTAAAAATACAATTTAATTAGGTTATATATGTAGAAATAATAAATGTAGCAATGATTGATCAAACAAGTAAAAGGACCACACGTTGTTAAATGACATGAAGAACAGTTTGCTGACTCACATTTCACAAGGCCTGAAAGGATAAACATGCTCTTTTAAGTACTGTAATGTTTTGCATTCAAAATCACTAACTTGTAGGTATCAGCACTCCTGAATTCCACACAATACTCATGAATGAGATGAAAGGCTGAAGCTTGGACACAATCAATCATAAATCATAGAATATTTATGAACGAGTAAGGAGAATTTCATCTATAAGGCATTGCCAACAACTTCCAGTGAGCCTCTGCATTACACTAGAGAAAAAAAAAATCTGCTATCTTCATCATTTTCAGAGACCTGGCAGAAGGCAGACTGACTCAGTTTCAATTATACACTGTGCATCATAAGCTTTAATAAGCTATGAGTATCTTTTTTACGAACTAAGACCTACTGCCTTGCATAAAGTGGCACACACAACAACTCCAGTTAACAGTCACACATAGATCAGTGTAGAGCTACTGATTTTCAACACTCCAAAGAAGATAATATGTTTTTGAGTATTTGGTTACATAAAGGATTGTAACTCCAAGATGTGCTGATTTGCTGTGGGAGGATTCTTTCTGTGAGCAGAGTAGGTAACTTCAAGTAAAAGCTTACTGATCCTAAATCAAAGTTACTGTAGTTCGTTTCTCCATAGGACTCCACCTAGTGCTAGAAACAAGACTCTAAATCTTGACTGACACTATTTTGTTCATACTAGATGCAGATTGATTTTACAGGCTTGGTACACACATTACCCCAGTATTTTCTGCTTTTAATAAGGCATTTAGTACAAAGAGAGCAAGGTGCCTTATTAGAATAAATTTGTTGACTTGTGAACGCTCACAATAAAAGGAACACCAGCCATTTGTTCCCATGAAAATGGAGTATTGATTATTTCTAGAACATCAGTGTATCTAAAGCAAATTTACATTGGTTCTGACAACTTCTGCACTGATAGCAAAAACCTATCATCTTTATCTTCAGAGCATCAGCAAAAGCTATTTAAATTCATTACAGCCCCTGCCACAGATCTAGAGTACAGCGCTGTCACAAACGAAGCACTCTCATCTCCCATTGAGCCTCGACCTGCAATTGAGAGAGCAGACCCCTGACTTGTCAGCTGGCTGCCAAATAGGCTTTGGTCCATGACACCCCCATTGCAACATTAAATAGATCCCATTTCAGAGTAGGACAGGAAGTTAGGAAGTGCTGCATATAATGGAAAATAAAGAATATGGCTCCCCTCAGTTAACAGAGTGTATAGCAGGAAGCAACAGATCTATATTTTGTTCAGCTAGTAGAACATGCCCTGACTATGCTTGCTCACCTTTGCTATTCCTTTAACTTTGGATAATCCCACTTTCTAGCATGGTCACTCACACACACAAAATTACAAAGCCTGCTTACAACAACATTAGCAGTTCTGAATTCAATTTCCACATTTAATGCCCCAGTAACACAGAGAACTAATTCTTTTTTTTTTCCAGATTGCTACCTCAGTACAGTCCCCCAAAGAAGGGAGGATTTGGCTCTTGTCCCAGGTGGTAATTCATGCAAAAATGTAAAATGAAATAACAGAGATATTTTTAAAACAAGAAAGGGAAAAGTCTGACTAACAAGATTTCAAAATATGGAGAATTCCATTTTTGTATATATGATTTGTCATGAATATGAAAGCTTGCAATAAAAATAATTTCAAACTGTGGCAACACTACAAGATCAACTGGTTGGTGACCACAGCTGGCCCAAGTCTTTTCAGCTCAGTAATCTCTCCTGGCCACTACAACACCCACAGTAGAAACATACCTGTCCTTGACATCTTTCATAAGCTGCTGCAAGTCAACCTCCTGCTTCCTCAGGTTTCCAAATGAGGATTGGTTTTCCACATAACCCTTCCCTCCAGCTCCCAGGCTGAACTTCACAAATGATGTTTCAATACTTCCTTGAACAAAATCTTCAAACTTCCCCATATATTTTGCAAAGTCAGACTCCACAATCACTAGGAAAGCAATAACAATAATTTCTGTGAAGAGAAGTGCTGAAACTGTCCTGAAGTGATTGGAGGAACAGATACTTACAGAAAATATGACAAGTTAGCAAAGGCAAGGAACAGTATGAAGAGGTAAATAATGAAATTTACATCTCTGCAACTCTTGCATCTGCTCTCTTCATGTTTTCATCATCTTTTCTCTACTATCTTTAGTATTCTGCCATTTTAGGAAAACATAAGGTGACTGTAGTGCTGAACTCAGACACTATGAAATATTTATAAAGAATGATTGAAAGTTATTTCAGCTACAAAGAAAACTACAAAGCAGACATGCTTGTACAGTAGTGCTAGTATTTTGGCATTATTTTGACACATCACAGGGCTGTCCCAAAGCTCACTGAAAACCAGTGGAAAAATCTAACTGGTTTAAAACAATTCGGAATTTTATATATCTAAAAAACAGAGAGCTGACTCAGAATCAGCTGTATTTCCAAGCCAGCTACAAATTAACATCTTAGGTTAGGGAGTTATCTATTTTCCTGTGTGGAATTATGACATGTCCAGAAATATGGGATTCCATCTCATTAATCTTAAAACATGGGTGGGACTACTATAGTTGGATGAAGAAAAAAGTACAAGGGTCAACCTTCTTTAACAGTCTATGCAAGACAAACAGAATGGGTGGTAAAACTCACTTGGCCCGGCCTGGAAGCGCTCCCTGGGCTACTAACACCAACAAGACACTGTTTATTCACTGCTTTTGACCTGAAGCACAGTACAGTCTCACACTACTATCACTTACAACCCCCTATAATATTCTAGGGATATTCCTATAGCTGCAAGACAGCTGCTGTTATTAAACAGTAGGACTACACAGCCTGACAACGTTCAGCACTTAATTTAACACTCTACCCGGGCAAAATTTTCTTCTTATTTTAACCAACATTTATTACTACCAGTTTTAGTTACATAAATGGTCAAGTGAGAAAAGATCCATTAATCTCCTTCCCATGGATGGAGGGATTCCTTCAGAGCATTCCTTTGAAAGGAGCCCTCTAATAACATTAATTGAGAATAATAACAAAACAGATTGGGGATTGTACTGTTTTTATCTGCACTGACAGTGCTGCCCAAGTATGGCTTTACCTGGTTTTATTGGTTTGTCTTCAGTAAGCACATCACTCAGGGTGACTGTCAAGAAATGATACTTGGGCTTCTGCCAGCACCAGAATTTCCTCCTCTTCGTAACTAAGCTCAAAAGCTGCAGCTTGTCTGAGGCGTTCAAGTGGGAGACAGGGATCAAGTCACCTCCACTGTCAGTTTCTCTCACAAAATTCTTCGTTGCTTTTGCAAACATCGTGGGGAATCACTTAAAGCCTGAAAGAATGCATGTGTTTTCAGACAACTGCAGTTGGAAAGTATAAATATTTACCCTGTCCTTTTAAGAAGTCCTGCACAGAACTGGTATTAACAAAGGAACACCCATGGTGTTTTCACCCCATCTTCTCCACTCCGAGCTGGGAAGGAGTTCAAATCACTTGTCCCAGCGTAAGTTTTCTCAGTAACTAATAAAAGAATTCTAGTTAAGAGGAACATTCACAGGTTGCTAATCTGTTAGGGAGGAAAAACTTGCACAGCTTACCTGAAATTCTATGAAAAAGCATCTACTACTAATGAGCACCCCGTAGAGACCAGCTGTGATGAGGAGAGCACTGGGGCAATGGCTGAGGATTTCTGCCTCCCCACAGGATCCTTCTTTTATTACCTAACATAAAACTTACTCCACATAAGGCAATTAGGTATTACTCACACGAATTATCTTGATCTTTTTAATGGGGAGTGAACACATGGATAGATAATAACAGCTGTTCTATAAAAAGCACCAAATACATGAGCTGGCATCTTCGTTACTAAATTTTGTTTCTGAACTACAACCCTGGAAAGTTCCAATTAATTTTTTTATTTATGAACTCTTTTTTACCTTCAGTGTTTTCCAATTTTCTATTTTTTTCATTTGCATAACTACAGCTAAATTGAACATACATTATTTGCAACTATTATTTACAACTGTTATTCATATCCCCTACACAACTACATACATTATCTTACTGTTGCTTTGCAATGATTTTAATTAAAAATTACCAACATCTCTTATATAACATGAGGTTTTCCTTATCCCTGGGAATGTATTTTACTGTATTTACAAGGAATGTCTGCCAGTAAGGCAGACTGACTGAAATCACAGAAGAAATGGTAAAAATGACCATTCACAGGTGCTAAACAAATAATTCTAATAAATTAACATTTGATCTTTTTAAAGAATCTTTCTAGTTTTTCAACTCTGTGTTATCTGATAATATCTAATGACAATATCTGATAATATCTAATGATAGCTCCAGAATTAAATCAGGGGTTTTTTTAAATCCATCGGCATTCCTTTAAGTCCCCCAGCTGACACTGACTGGAAAGTTCAACTAAGATCGTAAGATGCCTCAGCTGGGTATTCACACTTCCATGATTAATTACCTGTCTTGCTCCACACAGATCTTAGATTTCTCATTTACAAACACAGACCACAGTAAAACAGGACAAACAGGACTTCAACCAAAAACCGATATTGCAGTGAGCACTCAGGATTATTGACAATGGAAAATGGAAACCCGAATAAGATTATTAGTGCTTGGCCCACAGGCTCTGTATTTTATTACTAGTGAAAAAAGCCTTTTTGCAGATGCAAGCTTACCTGTCATTAGTTTTTCCCAAATCCCATTTCAGATATTCCACACAGTATTTAGCAATTTATGAAGAGGTATTTACTTCCTCATCAATCCTCTATGGATTAGCCTGTGTAACAAATAAAGGGTGTTTTCCAACAACACCTGCACCAAAAGGATTTGAGCAATGTCTAAGTCGCCTAACATTTTACTGAAGAGTCTTCTGGGGCTTTCACTGCAACTGCAGCAAACCCTGCAGCACAACCTCAGCTGTGGGCACTGGGAGTATTTCCAGTGACTTCTTGCTCTCTGACCTTCTCTTAAACTCAACCCAGACTGATTTTTTGCATTCTTATGTGTCTCCTCCTTAATCTCTCTGGATTTAATCTCAGTGAGAACATTTTTAACAGAATAAAGCAGTGCAGATCCACTGCAGCAAAAAAGGGAAAAACCCAAATAAAACTTCAAACCAAAACTAGTTTCTTTTATCCACAGGACTTCTTTTGCAGGTGTCTGTATTTTGCAAACAGCCAGATGACTGATTTGTTATCAGGAAGATAACGAAGGGGACAACCAAGAAAATTCTCACTGCCTGCATTAGTTGCCTTTGCCCAGCATAACCTTACACAAACATTTTTGTACTTTAGATGACAGCTCACCCACCCTGATCCCCTCACTGCACAGCCAGCTCACACAGGCATGGTCTCTGGGAAAAAATGTTAAAAAGGCCACCAATTTCTGAGTTTATCATAAAACTAACTGCAAAACCAGGTCCTAATATTTAGCATTCTTACAAATTCACTAATTCTCCGGTCTGTAAAACTTCCAATTCACAGTGTTTTGCCTTCATTCCCCATCACCACTCTTGACTAGCAAAAGGAACATCCAGGGAAGAGGACAGAGTGCTTCTGAGGACTAGCAAGACTCACCAGGCAGGAGAGATGGGGCAGTTTTCAGCCTCAAAATGATGGCAGTGTCTCCCACACTTTGTTGTGCTGGTAATGTCTTTGCAGGGAGCATATTTTGCCGGTGTAGAAGTACCTGCAAATCAAGAATATTCTATCCCAATTCCTGCTTATTTATCTTTGGATATAGCACCTTTAACACAAATTTTACAATGCCCCCAAATACCTTGCTTCACTACTTCCCAGAACAAAGACAGAGAGCAATTATGCCCCTAGCAAAGATCAGGGGGCTAATACAGCCACAAGGCTCAGCAGCACCCTGAATCAGTGGACAGGGAGTGGTTACAGACCCAGCTTTAAGAAAGCTTTGCCTTGGGAGCTTCTTCCTCTGCAAATTTTAATAGAGCTGTGCTTGGTTTGACAGAAATAGAAAAACAGGTAGGAAATGCCCATCAGAGTGAATTCACTCTTACAGATTGACAGCTAGGCATGAAAGAGAAAAGGAAGGAGGAGTACCTTCCTTGCCTATCAAGAAATTTAAAACTAGCCTGAACCCGGACTACAGGAGGATTATTTAATGGCAAGGATGAGAACAAAAGAAGACAATGAAACTAATTTCACTGTTTACCTAAACAAACAAATCGCATCCCTGCTTCTTTACTTTGTAGCTCCCTAACTCAGTATAGTGGGACATTAAATCCAAAGTGACATTTTATGAGCAACTGGTGTTTGCCTGTGACACTATAAAAGAAACCAAACAGTTGCTTGATATTTCTTACATTCTGTATCTTTCACATAAAATACATTTATTTTTTTTTTAATTCAGCCTAAGATCCAAGTTGTAAGGACATGCAATGCCTGAAAGCCAAACAGAAAGCCTTCTAAAGACTAAAGCCTTAGCGCTGAAACAGCTGTTAGGCATTAACCACGGTGTAGGAGTGGTAATGGCCTTGGAATCCTGAAGGAGTATGAGTCTGTGTCCGAAGGGAACTGGAACATGGAAGTGACGACATGCACATTACATGTTTTATTCAAGAACATTACACTTACTTTCACCTCTTCCCTAGATAATTAACATTAAAAACAAAGAAGCACCCATAAGAGCTAATACACAAAGCCCAGCCGGGCTGCCCACACAATGCAGTACAGGTTTTGAATGCATAATCCCCAAAACCACGTCTGAAAGATTTCAGCCCTGGCTGAGCCCTCTGTTTGCTCCTCGAGGACTCTGCAGCACGTGCCTCCACACACCGGTGCCGCAGCCTCGGGCACCTCGGCGAGATGCGGCGCCTTTCCCCGGCCGTGGGCGCCGTCCCGCGGGCTGCGAGGGCGGAGGGAAGGCCCCGCGCTGCCCCGGCGCTGGGTGCGCGGTCCCGCCCGCCTCTCCGGGAGCGGCTAGGGCAGGGGAGCATCGCCCCGCCGTGCCCCCGCTCAGAGCACCGCACGGGCACCGCGGCCATTCGCTCCCCACGGGGCGGGCAGGACGGCGGGGCGCGGAGGCCGCAGCCGCTGCTGGTGCGCCGCGGCAGGGCGGAGTGGCAGCGGCAGGGGAGGTGGGCCGGGCCGCACCGCCGCCCCGGGCCCGCTCCCGTACTCACGGCATTCCCGGCGCTCCCCTCTGCCGCTACCGGGGATGCGGCGCACTCCGCCCGCGGGGCGTGACGAGTCCGCCGCGCCCCAGGCGAGGGCCCGCGGGCGAAGCTCAGCGAGCAGGTCCCGCAGCAGCGGGGGCTCCGTGCCGGGAGCGGCGCGGCAGGGGCAGCGCAGGCCCCGCCCGGGTGCCCGGGCCGTGCGGGCGGGCGGGATCCGCGCCCGGAGCGCCTCCGCCATGTTGAGGCGCGGGGCCGCCGCCCAGCACAGGGTAGCGGGCGGGGGCAGGGGTGCTGCCCGCCGCCCTGCGAACCCTCGGGGCGGCTTCTCCCTCCCTCGGAATCCCGCCCGTCTGCCCGAGCTCCCTCGGGCGCTGACCGTCCTGCCGTGAGGGCTGGAACGAAGGGCTGCAAGTGTCCCTGTGCGTGGGGCGGTGGCCCGGCACAAGCGCCCCACGGCAGGTCTGGGTGTGGGGCAGCCCTGTGAGTGGGCTGCTGGAGGATTCCCACTGGGATGGGACAGACGGTTTTGTATGGCTGCACCTTGGCAGATAACACTGGCAGCTGTCTTTCTTTCCAGGTAATTGCGTGACAGCGATGTTCTATGACACTTGTGATAAGGACATCTTTGTGACAGGCTCTCAAGCCCGGCTCGGGTCGCCCGTGCTCAGAAGTGCGCGGGGCCGGTGCGAAGTCCAATGAAAACAGCAGCACTGCCACGGTTTTGGCTGCGAGTTTGCAGCTCTGGGTTGGCACTGCGGGCCTTGTGAAGCCGCTGTGGACCGAACGGGAACTCCCAAGTCAGGGTCCCCAGTCCAGGACCTTGAACGGCAGCACTGTGGAAAATGAGAAGTGTGGTCAGCGGGGCCTGGGGCAGGTTGGTGAACCGCAGTGTGAAATACTGAGCGCTGTCACAGTACCTTAGCCGTCTGAAAACACCACAATGAAAAAACTTGGTTGTTTATGATGCCAAAGGAGTGATCCAGTAAGAAACAGATGAGTCTGCAAAACCCCAAAGAGTGGTTTTTTCATGATAATAAATATCAAATACAACTTTTTCAAGTGAACCATGCCTCAGGCTGGGTACTTCCCTTTTGTTTCGAACATCATCAGACCTTAATAGGCTAACACCCTGACTTTGGAACAAAGGGAAGGGGAAAGCTTAATGTCTTTAAATGAACAGTCCTGGGTGAAAGGTATCAGTAGATGCACATAGGTAGAGTAGACCAATTTCTTCTGTTTAGCTATGTGCAGCATCCAAACCTTCCAATGAATTTCAGCTGATTTTAGTCCATCACCTCTTTCTGATTTCCCCAGGTGACATCCTTATTGATTGAATGATAAAACATCTTCATTCTGGGGTTGCAGCTGCTTACAGAAATTTGAACAAATAGTCAGAATGGAACTAAGTACCTGTATTTGTGATAGTTTAAATTTTCTGAACTAATGAAATTTATAAAGCTCCATTCTTACAGCCCCTGCCTGAGAAAAAGTACCCACACATCTTTGGGAGATCTCTTTTTAGGATCAGCACTGAGCTGCAGAATTGCTGGCTCCAGTAATAATCTGGCCAGTAATAGCACACGTTTCATAAGCTATCATGTGTTTTTCCAGGGAGTGGCAATGTGTGATGCGTTTCAAATGCAAGAGTCTGCTAAAGCATATTTTGAGAAATCAGGGAGGAAGTTGTACTGAACCACATTGCTATGGAAATATCCACTGGGGAGGTAGGACTAAAATAAAACTAGTGAAACTTGCTGGTAATTTTAAGGACACTACTATCAGTTACATGTACACCAAATAGAGAGTATCCACACCAGGAATATTTAAATGTTTTTTAAGAAAAGTCTTCAACAGAAATCTTCTATCCATCTGAATGGCACCAGCTGACATAGGGTAATTTTCAGATGCATCTCATTGACTAGAAGGAACAGAAACACAGGTTGTTAGCAAACAGTTTTGGGGCTATGCAGCAATTAACTTTGAGGCTTCAAAGTCTGTCACAGAAACTGGCTTGCAGCTGAGAGACATTTAGGACTGAACACCACCTTGAGCATTCAGTCTTCGTGGAAATGCTCTTCAGGTTCACTGGACAGTCAAAATTCCCAGCCCGTGGTTACTCCATGTTCAGCTGGGATGCCAGCAGGGAGGATGTTGAGTCAGAGAACTACACAAAGGATGCATGGTCTGTCAGCCACAGACTCCATCTCCTGAGCTGAAGCATGAACTGCATCACTGGTGTTAGAAGATCCTTCTGCATTGCTTCTGTGTGAGAAGATCATCTTGCAGAAGGAGCAGAGGGAGAAAACCAGAAACTTTTGCTTCTGGACCAAACTGCTCTTAGTATGGGATGAGTTCTGGCTACCTTTTAAATAAGTGAAGTGAGGCAAGTGGCTTCACAGCCACAAATAAAAAATGAGTAATGCACATAATAAGTGACTAATAACACAAAATACAGTAATCTGAAAGGGAAAAAAGACCCCAGCAAAATAGTTGTAAGCTTTTTGAGTATGGCTGTGTGAAATTCCTTGGGTAAGACATTTAAAAAAAATTACTGAGCATGCCACCACAAGATGTCAGCATTGCAGAATGGTTATTCCTGCCAGAAACAGAAAAGGTTTTTGCATCCTATATGCATTTGGTATTAGATTTAATTGTTTTTGTATGATGGCATAATGTGGCCTTATTTTTTTTAAACCATTGACATTATGATGTCAGTCCAAATTTAATTGCAAGGGAGAATTTCTTAAACCGCTTTTTAAAAATTAACTCTATCTTAAAAACTTCTAAAAATGCTTTCACAGCATGAACAGCAGTACTAATGGCAAATCATACCTTGTAACCATCAATGTGTTGTTTCAGGCTGCATCCAGCCTGGCTAGAAAGCGCTCACTAAAATTGTGCCTGTATTTGAGGTGTCCAGAGGTCATCCAAAGGTCGCTGCTGCTCCATGCTAGCCCTTTATAAAACCCTCATGCTGGCTGGGGAAGGCTCTGCTGGCCTTAGTTCTGTGGAGGAACTAGGAAGAAAATGTGAAGATATTTTGGGCTTCTATTTAGAAGAGAATGATGTTTGGGGTAGCAAGTCTTTTAAAAGGTGTCCAGCAACACAAGCCAATCACCGGCAAAAGAATTTATTTCTTTTTTTTCTACACTCCTTTTTGTAAGAATAAAAGATCTGAGCAACAGTTTTTGTTTGTTTCTGCATTTCTTTCAAATCAACTAACCAGCCTCATTTTTCTTCCACATTGAAATTCATGTCCTGTTTTGCTGGGATGCTCTGTACTTTTTGCCTCTTCCATTCTGTCCTCTGAAACATTTCCTGTTGCACACAACAGCTTTCTCCCTCTCCTGCTGTTACGGCTGTCACCAGCCCTGCCACCGTGCCAGCAGCAAGTGACAGGCTTAGCAAGGGACCGTGTCCTGAGAAGGGGAGATGAGTGGGAGGGTGCAGTGAGCCAGGAGGGGCTGTGTGAGTTCAAAACAGCCAGAGAACCCTTCTGCTGTGCTTCCCTACCTGTTCATGTGAGCTTCTGTGCTTCTGCTCTTGACGATGGGAAGGTGACATCTTTAACCATCTGAAGATTTTGCTGTAAGATGAGTTCGGCCACTCTTTAGAGGCTACCTTGTATTGCAAGGTTCAACTCTGCTACCTTTACAGACCAATATGAGGAAAACAGAGTTCACTTCTGGATCTTCTAGTCCCAGGGAAGGACCACTGCAGAGTGCCATGGTGAGATGCAGGAGACCAATGTGTTCAGCACAACCTGTTTGCTGTAACTCAGTCAGAGCTCTGCCTTCAGCACAGATGTTGGCATGGGGGAAAGCAGTGCCACGCCTGCTTTCTGTAGTGCACAGGTTGCGTGCTTTGCTCCTCTTTCTGTCCAACCATGCGATGATTCTGTGAGGTCTCCAATAATAATATGGAGAACAATTTGCAAGAATTTGCATAAACTTGTTGCTTCTGACTTTAAATTGTAGATTAGATGGCAGCCACAGAACTTTATTTCTTTTACAACAGTGATAAATGAAGACTTAGGAATAGATAACATTTCTTGCACATCTCAAAAGCCTTCCATAATAGTTTATTAGAAACCATCTGGTTTCATTAATGTTTTATCAAATACCATCTGGTTGCTATATTGTTCAAGCTATTTAGTAGTAAAACCTGCTCATAAATTAGCCAAAATGAATGGCTATCAAACTATTGTGTAGGAGCCCCAAACAACTTTCATGTAGGTCCTATATAAACAGTTATTTTAAAAGTATTAGACTACACTAAACTTCAACATTAAACTTCAAAAGTCTAGAAAATGTATCAGTAATAAAATCTAAAATTTAGCTCATTCCTCAAGCTTCTTAATTTTTTTTCCTCTTTTCTACATGTTTAATTCTTGGCCAGTTGGAACAGGAGTGACAAAGTCAAAATGACAAACTGTATTTAAATAAAGATTACTAGAATACTGTTGTTCAATAATACGTTGCAAACAGAATACCTGTCACCGTGCCTCCAAAAAATGAAGCCCTTCATCTTTGTATCTCTGCACATGTACACTTTTCAGACTGTAAGCACTCTGCCAGGGTTTCTGGCACTGCTCTGAAATCTAACTGTACAGCAGCACAGGGCACCATTCAGAGTTGCACAGTGCCTACTACTATGGGCAGGTAGGTTTGATTGTAAATGCTTACCTAATATACATTGTTTTAATAAATTATACTTTTACTCATAATTATTTTCCTGTTACACTTTCAGATCACTCATAATTATTTTACTGTTACATTTTCAAAAAATGTCACCCTAAAATTAGGGCAGTTCCTTGTGATTTTGTTATTTATAGGCAACCTTAAAGTTACTGTGAATGGAAGAACTAAGGCAAGCATATCTAAAGAACACATGGAAGATTTAGGACAAAATTGGCAAAGCAACAGGAGGTAGAAGATCCCTGGGAAAGAGCCCATGGCTCAAGCTGCCTGTAGAGAGAAAAGCTGGCTGTAAGTTTTCCTTGATCAGCTCTACAGATTTGTTACGTTTCATGCAATTCCTTTTGCATCCTCTGAATGCGTATGCACAAGCATCCTCAAAAAACCTCATTATTCACCTGTGGGAGCAAATAATTTGGGCAGAATTTTCTGAAGAACAGGCAGTCCCTCATGGGGCAGCCAGCTGGATGGTGTTTGTGTTGTGCTGCTGCAAAACTGGAGCATGGCCATAGTCAAACCTTGCAAAATGTTCAGAAGCTAACATTAA